TATTAAAGACCGGAGATAGTATGTTACAATATTTTCATTTAGCTTTCCATTCAACTCTTCAGTTTTTACAGATTATCCTTTTCTTCATATTTGTACATGCCACATTCCCCATGTAATACTAACATAGGTGGTCACCTAACAGCTTGAACAAAATAACATGCTATTGACACACAAACTAACTGCTATTATTATTTCCACATAACAATTATTTGCTTCCAAAGAATGATCTTTATTCTTGAGGACTTTAATATAAATTCACAAATTCATCGGTACAATTCAAAAACTTGATTGCTTGTACCCTTTTAACTTTTATTCTTCAGAAATTACCAATCAAACAAAATTCTCGGGCCTTTGATTAGTTCAAGAATTGTACTTTAGATTAGCTTCCTCCCGTAGCTTGTATAACATTATATTTTAATTATTCAAAAATTATTATTGAATATTTTTGAAATTTCAATAGCCACTTTTTCAAAATAAATATGAAATATAGAATTTATAATTTATAACCAACTGCTAACAATACGGTTAATTTTTTAGATTCCGTGTCATTCATGATAAAACATATTTAATCTTATAATAAATTCAAGGGAAAACTAATTTGTGAGTATTATAAATTTAACATTAAAAGGCATTAGTCCTTGAATATTAACGCTGTTTGTTTTCTGATGATGTGGCTAACAGAAATCTTACGGGGCTGGCTGACACGTTAAAATGGATCATTAAAATTATTTTATTTAAAAAATTGCCAGGTAGACAAACACGCAGCGCACAACGGCATGAAGAATCGGAGGAGATTATTCTGCCATCAAAAACTCGGTTCATGGAGTGTGAAGAAAAAGGGGATTATTTGATTAATAGGTAGGAGGATTGCTAGACGATTGGGTCCAATGAAGAGTGAGTTGTTTGGTGACAGGGAGGAGAAGCTGTTCGATGGCTGCTGAACCAAGTCTGTAATCAAAAAGCTCTTAATCTCTTCTTATCGATTAGGGCTTGTAGTCCGGAGGAAGAAGACAGCGTTGCGAGCGTTTAGAGCAGAGAAGGGAAAAAAATTTGCTTTGTCCTGGGTTTCTTCTCTCCTACTACCACCGACCTCGAAATCACAAGGAAAAGGGTATCACTTTTCCTTTAAACGTGAACCTTCTGAGAGAGTCATATTATATGCAGAAGGGGTTGATCAGGGAATTTGATTGGCTTTGATAGAACTTTCACTAAATGATCGAAGGTGGTCTGAAACTTGTACACATTTTACTACATTAGTACAGCCATGAAAATCTACAAACAATGCAATTGAATTAGGGAAAAAAAAAAAAAAAGGTATTTCAACTGATACTTAACAAAGTACTCCCTCCGTTCCTTATTATAAGAGACATTTGATACTTATGATATGTTCCTAAATATAAGAGACACTTAAAAGTTGTCTTTATTTTTTTTTGTTGATTTCCTATTTTACCCATATTTTGTCTCCAACTCACACTCTCTCCTCCTACTTCTCTTTCTTTCAATAATTAATTGTTCTCTCTCATGCTCTCTCTCCTTATTAATGAGGGTATTTTTGGAAAAAATATTATATTTTTTACACATTGATTGTTCTTAACTAATTTTAACTGCTTTTTTGATCAACGTAATTCGGTTATTCGTCTCTTATAATAAGAAACGGAGGGAGTACTGAAATAATGTGTTCATAACATGCAGTGCATACAAAAATCTTTCGCTCCTTGGATCTTTCTGTTTTTCCCCTCAAATATTGCATATGTTTTTGCAACTTTGGTATCACCTTTCCTTTTTATATGTAACGGTAAAAAAAGGTATGCTTTTCATGGTGAATAGTAGATGCACCCAAGAGACTGGATTCTTATACCTTTCGAGTTATGCAATCTTTCAGTTAAGCATCTTACATGTCTGTCAGGCATTGATTATTCTCCTACATGCTCAAATAAAAAACTATCCCTTTCTAATATAAGAAGACAAACCATTCACATTCCAAAATTCTACACACTGGATTGGCATTCATTGCCACAACCAAAAGTCTTTCTAATATCAGAAACACACACCGTCACCGAGCACCTTTTGGATCTAAATGTTTCGATGGCTCGACCAAACAAATCAGAGAAACTCAGTCTGCCTCTTCAAGCCACACAATGGATTAGGGCAAGATCCCCGAGATGCTGGAGTCTTCTATCGAGGAAACTGCCGACTCCATAAATTAGGAAAGGCCCATCCTCATAAATCAGCGATGACCTAATGATTTGGATGTAGTTAAGCGAAATCTCAAAATGGGAATGTGAGTTCGTGATGATCAGAGAGTGGTTATTTAGCATCGTTGGGATCTCGAAGCTAGCGGAGAGCGGAGCGTAATCGATGGTTTTTAGGCAACAATGGTAGTGGTGACAGTTGGAAACGGAGGAGATCAAGAACAGGTTGAGTGAGGACCAGAACGCGATGGAGATGATATTCTCCTCGTCGTCTTCCTTTGTTTTGTTTCCACGCATGATGATGCTTTGTCCATGGGAGGGTTCAAACAATTAATTATATGCTTGGCATCAAAGTTAACCCATCTGGCTACCAAATCCTATTGTTTATCCCCTGTCATCTCAGTCAACCTCCAGCTCATTAAAATTAACGATGTTATGACAGTTTTAACCCTCGAAGATGGATAGAATTAAGGGATCAAAGTATAAGGGTTCAATTTAAGAGAAATAAACTACAGGGAACTAATTTGAAATTGGAGTAAACTGCAAATTAGTTTTTTCTTAATTTAATAAGACCGTAATAATATTAAATAGACATGGGGCAATATTTACATCAAGTTATTATATCCATTCTATCAATTCTCTAATTACATATGATCATGTGTTCTATTTTTAAAATATTAATAGTTAATAGCATTTAATTATAAAGTCACATGAAAGAAAAAAAGATACATAAACATGTGTGGTTGAGAAACTTGACAGAATAGATATAAGCAATTTGATGTAAGTTTTTCCCCCATATAAATGACTCCTTGCATTTGCATGATAATTCAAAAAGAATTACTAGTGGAAAAAAGTTAACAATCTCTTTAGTTTTCAAGAGATAGTAAATAAACATTAAAAGAACAACGTTTATTTTTTTTATTTTTTTTATAACATATAAATTGCAAACTATTTATAGGGTTAATTATTTAAAAAATACTTGAATGGGTCAATGCGGCCACTTAGAAGACAACTTTGGTAGTAGGAGAGTGGATAGAAATAATTTTTCTCGCATTCAACTCTATGTTCATATGCCACGCCCATTTTAGCATCTTGATTACAACTTGAATGGAGTGGAATAATTAATTTTATCAGAAACAGTAAAATTATTCTTGTACTTTTTTTTATTATGTATATCTGGTTTTAAAAATTCAAATGAAAATGAAAAAAATAAGTGATAGTCATACCAGCATACAAGATCCATTACCCATGTTGTGGTGGATTACCATGACAGAATTCAATAAGTGGAGTAATGGACGGTTGACTTATTTGGAATGGTGGTTGTAGTGTTCAAAAGTAACTTTTGAACCGTGATTTGTAGTATATCAAAATGAGTAAGTACCTGTTTAGGTCAGTGTTTACTAACCTAAACGTGACTTAATTTTACGAGAAGCTCAATTAAAATTTTTTGTAACGTTTGGGATGGCTTTTGACAGATTGGGTTTATTGGAAAAAAGCTCCACCGGCCGTGCGGTGGGAATAAGCTAGCAAGAGGAGCTTATTTTTCAAGATTAAGAGCTTAATTTGAGGACCATTCTGGATGTGTCAGAGAATTTATTTTTTTTCTCCCTTCTGGCATTATTCCCTCGTGTTATTCACTTGCTTTTTTCTTTTTCTAGCCCTCTCACCCATTTGATTTTTTTAAAATTTTAAAATTTAATTCACTCATTAAATTTCACTTCTTCATATTAAATTATTTTAAATTCATTGTATTATGTAAATCATTTTTAAAATCATGTTTCATTATTATTAAAACTCATACTTATTTTGGTTATTTTACAACCTAACTTACTTTTACCCAAGGTGTGTTTGGATTAGCGGTGGAGAAGCAACTTTTTTTTTCAACCTGATTTTTACGGAGTCAGATTAGATAAAAACCAGATAGTGTAATGTGATTTATGTTTGGATTGAGTTTTGTAAAAAAAAAATCAGTTTGAAAAGCTGAAACTTGTTTGAATGATTAATGAAAAAGTAAGTTTGGATGTAAAATGATTGAAAAAGATATAAATTTTATTATATACAACAAATAAATGTGGATAGCATGGTCATTTTCTATGCAAATGGTACTTCTTTTGAGGCAAGAGAGAGAGAGTATCACATTTTCTTTTTTTGGTCAAAAAGAGTATCCCATTTTCATAAAGCTCATTTTTTTTTCCATCGTGAGTCCAAACAACAAATTGTGGCCAGAAGCTAGTTTTGCTGGTGAGAAATCAGTTTGGGATCACAAAAATGTGATCCCAAACACACTCTCAGTCATAATCTAAACAACTTTTTACTAATTTCATTTTTATAAACTAACTTTTCTAAACTCTAATCCAAATACAATTTAACTTATCCAATTTAACTTTTACCCTATCTTACTTTTCTAAAAATCAGATTGAAAATAAGTTACTTTTTCCACCGCCAATCCAAACAGATCCTAAATAAGAAAAATTTTATCTCGACTTATGTGAACATGATAAGCAATTTAAAATATCATGATTGTTGAATAACTAGTTTATTATTTTTGGCCTTCAATTTTTTTAGAATAAGGTAACTAGTATAAATGATCAAAGACTTATTTTTAGGTAAAAGTGCATCCAACATATTAATCTTATTTTTTAGGCATAGTGAACATCATAATTCTTTCAGTAGTGTAATTTCACTCATAATCTATTAAATTTGGTATAATCTTTGGTTACTTTTGCATGAAAGTTATTAATAATTTGATAAAAATAACTAAAATTGTTAACTTTAACAGTTAAGATGAGTTTTAAAAAAAAAGAACAATTTTAAATAAGTAAAAGAATAAGGTTTATTTTTGTCCCAAAAGTGTTCATTGAGGGGCTTTGACTATCTGGATGTTTTTTTTGACATAATGTAACCTAAAAGTTTACAAAACGTAACAATGTTGCTCTAAGCTCACTGTGCGCCTAAAATACGTCTACCCCATCGGATAAGTTGCCATGTCAGTAGCATTATGCTGAGGCGGACCACATTTTTTCTCTTATCAGGGTAGCTTCTCTTTCTTCTTCCTCCACCGTCTTCTCTAGCAAAATCCCTTCTCTCCAATGGAAATGGTCACGACAAGCATGCTTTTTTTCAAAGACAACACATATCCAATTTAGAATAAAGCATATTAAGGGAGTGTTTGGATAAAAACAAAACTATGGTTTCAGAAGTGCTTTTACGGATTACGAAATAAATATGTGGAGAAGGTTATCTCGTTTTGCGGAAAAGTGCTTCTGAATCCACGGTTTCAGAGCATCCAAACAGGCCCTAAAACATAAAAATCAAACTAAAACATGGATCGAAGATGAAAAACAATTCAAACTTGTTTTACAATAAAGTATCCCCAAACAAATAACTTGCAGAAACCTAAAAAAAAAAAAAAGAGGAAGGAATGATCAGCTACATCAAACCCATGTTTACACCATTTGAGATATACACAATCAATAGCATCAAACCAAGATTTACAATACCAAGAACCATATTCACACAATCGCGAGTAGAATCGACATTCATCTATAATTTTGCTATTATGGCTGAGAAATTGATTTGAACGAGATCAGGGGAAGAGCGATTTTGATATCTCAGAGGATGAAGATTTTGCCATCAAACCAGAACCGCCATAAACACAATGAACGGCACCATATTCCCATCTCAGACCAAAGAAAAAATGAATCTCAGATTTAGAACAGACGCAAGAAATATTGACCCCATGAGCACAAAACAAACAGAAATGGAAATCGCACCTTTGAGCTTTCAAGAGACGGTTTTGGAACTTCGAGGCTGAAAGCTAGCCGGAAGTCACATCTCTGAGCTTAATGCTATCGAAAATTGCACATTTGAGGCTTAAAGCTAACTAGAAATCGCACCTTCGAGGCTTATAGAGACCAGGCTGCTTGCATCGCTCCGCAATTGTGCCTTCGTCAATTTCGTCGGTGGCACCTCCGCTGGTGGTTTGGAGTCTTCTCTGGTTGTCCTCTACCGGTGGTCTAGAGTCGTCCCTCGTTGTCCTCCACCAGGGGCTTAAGGTCAACATGGGAAGAAGATGAAGAAGACTGTCGAAGAAGAGAGAGTGAAGAGACGGGGAGACGAGAGAGGAGGCATGAGAGAGATAAATGAGGTGGAAAATTTTGATGAGTTGGAATAACGGCTCATCAGCAAACACTTTAGAGCAAAAATAGGCCTTATCCCATAAATTCAAAAAGGGCGAGATTGTATGAATTTAAAAAATAAGATTGGAGTATTCATGCTACTTTACCCTTTTTTTTTTTTTTTTTATTAACCAGGATGTGAAGTTCTCAATTCTCACTTCTCACTGGATTGCTTCCGATTTAAGAATGGTTTGGGCGGCGTGGCAACGCGCTTGGCAACGCGCTTTGTCTGATTCTGGGGGCAAGCAGAGTTCAGTTCTTGATGACATATAACGGTCCAGGAGAATAACCGAATTTTAAAACCAAAGGTCAGGGGAACTAACACGCCAGCAACATAACAATATGAATGCTATAAAACAAAAACCCACGCCACACGGCTGCCTTGACTTGAGTCAGTAAACATAGGGGAATAGGTTCTTCTTCGTCTTCAACCCCATGAATTTGCAGAGCGGTCTTCCCCTGCTTTTGCAACAATACACAGCGCTTCTGAAGAAGAACTTCTTGCTCTCATGGCGCAACAGGATGGGTTCGTTACTCCAACTTCTCTTTCCTCTCTTCTTCATGTTCCTTATGTTCGCCGTTGATAGGGCCATGCAGGCACGCTACTCCTCATCTACAGCCAACGAGAGCGTCACCGATCCCGGCACGTTGATTTCTCCTCCGATTACTCCCTGTGAGGAGAAGTTCTTCATTAAGCTTCCTTGCTATGATTTTGTTTGGAGCGGAAATGGAAGCCCCAAATTCCAGACCATTGTCAGTCGTATCATGGCAAACAATCCTGGCCGTCCTATACCTTCCTCTAAGGTACGAATTACGAATGATTTCTTCATTTAGTTTTCGCTTTGACTTCTGGTCCCTCCATGAGATTTGGCTCTATTTAGTTTCAATTTGATACTACATCGATTACTTACTACTACCTCTGATCTTTAATATAAGAACTAATTGACTAATTTAAGTATATTAAAAAAATATGTATTGTCTTTTTTAAAATATGCTTGCTAATAAAGTAAGTTGGAACTATCATTATTAGAAAGACTATTTTTAAAAAAAAAAGATAAATATAATAAGCAAAGTGAATTGGGGTCTTATAATTAGGATCAAAATAAAAATCAAATGAGTTCTTATATTAAGGAGCAGAGATAGTATAAGAACTAGTTTGACTTTTAATTTAGGATCTCAATTCATTTTATCTCTTATATTTATCTATTTTTCTCAAAGTAATTTTTGTAATAATTGTACATGTTAAATGTTTCATAATTAGTAAAGATATTTTAAGAAAAACAACACATATTTATTAAAGGTATTTTAAAGAAAGATAATACTTATTTATTACAAATAACTAACTTAACAAACTTTCTTAGTCTATTCAGATTAGTCAACTAATTTTTATATTAACAACTGGAGGTATTATTTTTTAAATGATATGTCTTCTTAAGAGATCTTCTTATTCTGTCAGTCCCATACAAATGGAGAATTGAATTCATTTCGCTGGCCCATTGTGCAGGTTTTATCCTTTAGCAATGCAGCTGAAGTGGATGACTGGCTTTTCAAGAATCCTCTGCGTTGTCCAGGTGCTCTACATTTCACCGAAAAAAATGCAACTGTCATTGGCTATGGTGTGCAGACAAATTCAACCTTTATACAACAGCGAGGGCGCTATGAAGACCCCACTTTTGCATTTCAACTCCCACTCCAGCTTGCTGCGGAGCGTGAAATTGCTAGATACCTGATTGGAGGTAAAATTTAATATTCATTGTTCCTGTTTTTTTTTTTTTTGGATCAATCACCATTCTTACTTGAATGAATGATAATCTATTCCATAGCTTATTCTACACTTAAAAAAATTGTGACCCGTCTGATGAGTTGATGCAAAATCAGATCCATCCTTCAGCTGGAGCTTTTCTTTCAGAGAATTTGCACACCCTGCTATAGAATCTGTCTCTACAGTGGGTACAATAGGTCCAGCATTTTTCCTTGCAATCTCCAGGCTTAACTTTGTTCTTCAGATGGAATCTTTGGCTAGAGAAAAAGAAAATAAGCTTCGTCAGGTAAAGACATACTACTCCTCCGGTCCTAAATATAATACCCTTGTATAAGGGTTTTATATTTAAAACTGAAGGAGTAACATTTAGATTTTTTTTTTTTTTTTAATTTTGTCTGACTGACATTTAAAGTTTACTTTCTTTCGTAAGAGACATTTTCGCTAACCATGGGTATCTTTCCATTGGTCCTTCTACTCAAAGGCAATGACGATGATGGGCCTCTATGACTCCGCTTACTGGTTATCCTGGCTTACCTGGGAGGCAGTTATTACTCTTATCACATCACTTCTCATAGTTCTTTTGGGAATGATGTTTCAGTTTGATGCTTTTGTGAAAAACAATTTTGCAGTCGTGTTTTTTCTGTTCTTCCTTTTTGAACTCAGCATGGTAAGATTTTTTTCCTTGGATTATCGAACTCACCATTTCTCAGTGTCTGTTTATTCATTGTTTTTTCTGTTTTATATACGGGGTGCTTTCTTTGTTTTTCCGGTGCACAATAATACCGTCCTTCATCACTTTTGATTCTAGACGGGATTTGCCTTCATGTTATCTGCTTTCATTCGTAAATCATCTTCAGCCCCAACAGTGGCATTCGCTGTATTTATTATCGGCATTTTGACTCAGGCAAGGGTCTTTCTTAACATTCTAGATAAGGATTATTGAACTGATAATAGGAAAGACCATCATCTTCTTTTTGTCTATGATTGTTCTATTTGCAGATCGTTGTACTAGCAGGATATCCGTATGATAATGACAACTCCGAGGTTTTCCGAACTGTCTGGTCATTTTTCCCACCAAATCCATTTACTCAAGGTTTGCATGTGCTTTCACAAGCAACATCCACTCCTGAAGGCGATGGTGTTAGATGGAGTAAACGTGGTGAATGTGCTCCAAACAACGAAGATTGTTTCATAACAATTGTATGCATTAATTGGACCTCTAAGTCCCAACACCTGAAATGCAACTTCCAAAAATTAGCTATTCCCATTTACTTTCTGTGGGTCTTCATTTGTCCAGTTTCCACTTGTGTCACTTCCTTAACAACTTCTGTTATTTCCTTTCATTGACAGAATGGTATCTATATGTGGCTGTTGGGTACATTCTTTCTGTGGTTTATTCTGGCTATCTACTTTGATAACATAATCCCAAATGCATCCGGTGTGAGGAAATCAGTCTTCTATTTCCTAAAGCCCGGATACTGGATGGGAAAAGGAGATAAAGTGAGAGGTGATAAAACTTGTCATTTTGTTGGTGCTATACATTTCTTTCTTCTCAGTTATTCTTTGTGACTGATCTAGTACTCCCTTTTCCATTTATTTGTAGAGGGTGGGGTTTGTAGTTGTGTAGGTTCAGTCCCGCCACAAGAGTATATCACACCAGATGATGAAGATGTCCTTGAAGAGGAAAACGTCGTAAAGCAGCAAGCAGCAGAATGTATGGTAGACCCAAATGTCGCTGTTCAGATACGTGGCCTTGCAAAGACATATCCTGGTGCATTGAACATTGGTTGCTGCTCTAAATGCCAAAAAACTGCTTTCAAAGCTGTTAAGGTGAAGGATTTACTATTAACGTTTTAGTCTGGCATATGTGGGCACTCTTGAAGTGCATGTTTCTTTCAATCATCACTGCTATATTTCAATACTCTGCCATAGTTTTGTAAATATTCTTTATTCTTTTCTTCTTCTTTTTTAAATAAATAAAGGGAGAATGAGACACGAGTGGAATAGGTACGGTGGGATGCAAACATTATTTTATGGATGATTGTCATTTTGTGATTTGTTATTGTCTGGGCAATTATTAGTAGATTAGGAACTACAATTTTGGGGTAATGCCCTTGTCAAGTTATGTTTGGGATTACTCTGTACTTCGGTTAGATAGACTTTGAAATTTGACTTTATTATTTTTCACTAGTGGTTATTATTGAGTTTTTCTTGTTTGGATGACAACGACTAATGTCCTTTTTTTTTTCCCCCCTCTTTTCCCATGTAGTGATCTTTTCGCTTTTCCCTTTTATTTTTATTTCAACATGTCACGTTCTTCAATGTTAGAAGATTGTTTCTGATTTTTTGATGAGTGTTACCAGTATTATGATGTTAATACTTTTCCAATTATGATAGCAATTTGCAAATTACTTTCAGGGCTTATGGGTAAATTTTGCAAAGGATCAGTTGTTTTGTCTGCTGGGTCCCAATGGAGCCGGGAAAACTACTGTTATTAATTGTTTGACTGGGATAACTCCAGTTACTGATGGAGATGGTGATATTTTCTATTTCTCTCTCTCATATTCCATATTTTGATCATTGATCAATGTTACTAAATGGTTAAGAAGACTTTACTGACACTTCCATTTACCTGCTCAACAGCATTGATATATGGACACTCCATACGAAGCTCCACCAGCATGTCAAACATTCAAAAGCTTATAGGCGTCTGTCCCCAGGTGATTGCCTCTCCCTCACTATATCTCTCTGTGCATCTCTACGTGTTTGTTGCATGCAGCCATGCTTTAAATTACAACACATTTCTTCAATGCATATCCAAGTAATATGATATGATTTTCAACTGCAACGAATTCTCCATGTCATTGAAAGCCAGATTGATCCTTTATTGGGTTTTGTTATTCACAGTTTGATATCTTATGGGATGCATTGTCTGGTCAAGAACACCTCCATCTCTTTGCTAGCATTAAAGGGCTTCCCCCTTCTTCTATCAAATCAGTAGGTTCCTTTTAGCCTGTACTTACTCCTCACAACCGAAGATGTTTTTACTTTGCTTCTCACCCTGTATAAACAACAACAGAATTTGGTTCTCCTTCCTTTTAATTCAAGCTGTTCTGAAAAATACAGATTACTCAGAAGTCATTAGCAGAAGTAAGACTCAGAGAATCAGCCAAAGTAAGAGCTGGAAGTTACAGTGGAGGAATGAAACGCCGTCTAAGTGTTGCCATTTCCCTTATTGGTGATCCCAAGCTAATCATTATGGATGAACCGGTATGCATGCTACGATATTTACTGCCAGATTTAGAAGCTCTACTGTCTTCCTTATGAGATTTTTTATTTCATTTTATGCTTAGACAACTGGCATGGATCCTATAACAAGGAGGCATGTGTGGGACATAATTGAAAATGCAAAACGGGGCCGTGCTATTGTCCTTACGACACACTCTATGGAAGAGGCTGACATTCTAAGCGACCGCATAGGAATCATGGCAAAAGGAAGACTTCGCTGCATTGGCACCTCAGTACGGTTGAAATCACGATTTGGTACTGGTTTTATAGCTAATATCAGGTTCCATGATGCAACTTCTACAAGAAATCATGAGACAGTGAAGCAATTCTTTAAGAATGTAAGTTAAATAACTATGATGATTAGATATTTATTAGACAAGGATTGATCTTTGATCCTTGAAATAATTTGACAGAAGTTAGATGTGGTACCAAAAGAAGAGAACAGTGCCTACTTAACTTATGTGATTCCTCATGATAGAGAGGGACTCTTGATGGTAAGCTTTCTTGTTCTGGATGTTATTTCTGTACCTTTTAAACCATGTTTTCACCAAGGGTTCGAATATAACTGTTGGTCAATTACTGATCAAAATGAAAAAATGTTTCTCTGTGGCTCTCTTGTTTATGCTAGTGCACTAGCTTGTGTTATTATGACCTCTTGGTCTGCTTTAAACTTATCAGCGGAGTGATTATTCCTTTCCTTAGTGGCAATTAGTGACGGACACTTACTCAACAGAGAAGCCAGTTTATGTTGTGTTGTATGAAAATTTCCATCATATGGTTAAGAATAACTCCTTTACTGACATTGAATGCTTATGTTTATGGCAAATTAATTTGATATGGCACGCATCTTTGTTATTAAAATAACGTTTAACATCAATCTGAAGGAGGTCGAGATGGCCTCTAAGTGCAATGAGAATTAAGCGGGGCCACCCCACGAGTCATAACACCAAGATTCTGGATAAGTTGTTTGGTAAAAACGTGTTCCATTTCTTTTATGAGGCTTATTTTCCTATTGCTTCTCAAACAGAATTTTTTTGAGGAACTCCACGATAAAGAAGAAGAATTTGGCATATCTGACATCCAGCTGGGTCTTGCAACTCTCGAAGAGGTTTTCTTGAATATTGCAAGAAAAGCAGAGCTAGAAAGTGCTGCAGCTGAGGGGAGCTTGACAAATCTGACGTTGACTTCTGGTGAATCTGTTAAGGTAATTGCCACTGTATTTGTTGCTGCAACTTTGGCTCCATGAGAATTGTACTCTTCTACCCCTAGATTTCCATGTTGAGCTGGAATGTAGAAGTCTGGGTGGGATCTTTTTGAAGTGAAAAGAGAGGAAGAGGAGGAGTGAAACTGTTCTCTATGGACCCTACAAAGGCAAAAGGGAGCACTGCCCCTCCCTCTTTCTTTCTTCTTGCTTCAACTGAATTACACTTCAGAGGATGTGGTTTGTTCAAAGTTTTCGTCATATAATTTGCACACATCCCTAAACATAAAAGCTTGAGGATAAAAAATTTCAACCTCTCATGTGGTCCATCGTCCATGTTTTGCCCAAAACATGCAGATACCTGTGGGAGCAAGGTTTGTGGGGATTCCCGGAACTGAATCTGCTGAAAACCCCAGAGGGATTATGGTGGAAGTATATTGGGAGCAAGATGATACGGGTGCCCTCTGCATTGCTGGACACTCGCGGCAAGTTTCTGTTCCTCCCAGTGTTGAAGTATCTGCTCCTCCATCCTTAACAAGACGTCGAAGTAACAGGAGGTCAGAAACGGTTGAGGGCATTGTGATTGATCCCAGTCAAGTTAGTACTGTCAATTTCCAGTAATGCTTGTGTCTTGGGACATGTTCTCAGACAGTGACCCTCATGTTACAAGGCGGTTAATTGTCATTCTCCCTTAATATCACCATCGCCTTTGTACATGTGGACGTGGTTTTGGATTGGCTTTCTTGGATAAGATTACAGGTTTGTTTTAATTCAACACCTTTGTCTTTCTATGCCATTATGTTCTTCTATCAAATTCAATTGATGCGAAGGAAACACAACTTGACATGACAACTGAAGGCTCCTAAGACATGCACAATTGTTAATGCGTAATACAGAACTTGGGAGACCTGCTCTACACAATCATATACTGACAATCCAACAAACACTCAACAATAGTCAACATGCTGAAACTTTGGAAACTATTGGAGCTCGTTTGTTTTCCAGAAAGGATGAATGAATGAATTAGAAAGTTGCGAATTTCTTTAATACAATATTAAGGAGATTTATAAGTAAATTATTTTTATATTTTACTACATTAAATAAGAATAAAAGTGAAAAAAAAAAAACCCAACGTAGAATTTAGTCCTGAAATTCGCTCGTGCGTGAGTGAGTGAGCGAGAGAGAGAGAAGGCAAGCCTTTGGGATTTTCATCGTTTACATGCTCAGTCCATTGGATTTGGACTGGTGGAAGAAACAGAGGAAATGACAGTGAAGTCAGGAATCTTCATCGTTTACATGCTAATCGGTAATCACCTTGATTCTTTCTTCTTCTTTTCTGGGCTATTAATCACCTTGGTCCTAAACATTCTGAAATCCATCCTCCATTTTGTCATCAACGTCGACTTCAGTTGAATAGTCTAAGTGCCATATATGCCATCTTTTCAAGTTTTTCCCTTGTTCGGGTTGGGCAGCTTCATATTAGTCATATTAATCATGTATTCGATTTGTAAAACCATAGTTTTGAAACAAAATAAAAAAACCTAAGACAATAGATATGAATTTCAGTGTAAAAATAATAAATAAATAATGAAAACGAAAAGGAAGAATAATGAAAGATAGACAATAGTTCAGCCTCAACGAATTTTAGTATTTTAAATTTTTAATATTTCACTGAATAAGATCCAAGGTCTGTCTCAGGGTGTAAGTTAGAAAGAGACCAATAACAACCTCATATTCCTTCGAACTTATTTTCCCACACTCAAGAAGCTACTACAAAGCATAAACTCATTCTTCTGTCTGCAAGACAAAACCGCACTCCTTGCCTACATGGTTAATGTATTACTATTATTTAACCCCTGCCTCGAACTTTTACGATGAAGGTGGAGTTTCCCAATTCTTGGGGATGGGACCGACATCATAAATAATCTCTCTGTGGCAAGACCAGACAAGCCTTATCGCCTCAGGCGTTCCGATTCCTGCGCCTCTAGGATCCCCAGCAGGTCCAAACCTGTTGCCACATTATCGTTTTTCAAAGTTTTTAGGATCAAGAGTGCTATAATACATAAGAAAAACAGAATCTTAAATTCAGTTTACCAGTGGTTCTGCGGAGCTCCAGTAGTTCTCGCTCTTAGACCAGCATAAGTTGTCCCATTTACTGTTTTGCCAACGACTTCCTGCAAATTTATACATGACCACAACTATGAAGTAATGTTTTTTCATAGATAAGACAACCCGCCGTTTTATGTTCAGATCAAGTTAGATCTGAGAGAATCTTATGCAGTATCAATTCTAGAGTTGTTGAAGTCTATTTAACTCCCACAAAACTCTAGTTAGCATGCAATCAATAAGCATAATAAATCATTCATTTAGGATATGTTAGGATTTAACACGAGAAGGGAAGGGAAGAAATCCAAAGAAATAATGGAGGGAGAGAAGTAGGGAAGAAGGACAATTGACATCTTTCCTTCACTTTCTTGGGGAAACTTTCCTCCAAACTCCTCCAAAACTGAGAGAACTTAAAAGTATAAAGGAGGGATAACTTTGAATTCAAAAGGTTCGTTGAAAGTCATTCAATATCCTTCCTTCCTGGTTAGTGATTCCAACATAAGGAAAATATTTCAGCACAACTTTCCCTTCCTTTCTTTTACCCTTCATTATCCCCATCTAGCCACAACCTTGTTGTTTCAGCGCACTATAGCACACCCGCACACACAAAACCAGAATACTAGAGTTTTAAATCTTGCCTGTAAAAAGTGGGGATCATTTGAAACTACAGCAGCCGTTAAATGTGCATCCATTCTCTCCAAAGCATCTAGTACCACTGGGAGTTGATCGCTTGTATAGTCAGTAATAACCTGGGAATCATAAATTGAAGTTATATATCTCACAGAAAAAAGCAGAATAATACTCATAAAAATCCCGAAAGATTTTAATTGTCAAAAACTCCCTTAACATACCTGGAAGGGGCCAAAAATTTCTTTTGTAACAAGCTCATAATTTTTTTCCTTCACAATTTCCTCAAGAGGAATATAAATGGCAGTTGGTTTTATAGCACCATATATCGAAGGAATTGTATGTTTCTCTAAAGGCTGGCCCCCAAAGAGCAGCTTTGAACCTGGTATCTGAAGCAAGTTATTCTTGTGCTCTAGCATTGCTTCAGTTGTTACCTGTAACAAATGAGCAAAGAAAAATGAAGAATCTGAAAATGAATTCAGCACATATTGTCACCATCATCAAAGAAAAGCAAAGCAAAAAGAGATCTCTGGAAAAAAAAGAGAGAAAGTGATTTTGCAGGAAATGGTTCAAAAATTAAGTACTACATATTATAAACAATCCCTGCTAGTTGCTGAAGAAGTGAGGATAAGCAATGTTCGTCGTTACTTGCATGAAAAAATTTTGTTCAGTATAATTTAGGCCGATATAGACAGAAACAGACACAAAAATGTCTAGACAGGCACACTTACAGTCAAGACGGGACCAATGGTCAAGTCTTCTAGCTTTCTTCTCTCAGCAAGATCTTTCAACTTAGATATCAGAGAATCTTTAGACCAGTTCTGTGCAAGGAAATGTAAAAATCTGCGGTTATTATTATAATTATTATTAAAAAAGGACATGGAAATCTCGAAGACAAATGACAGAATAATAAATGCAACTTCAGCCTTGAAGAGAAGGGAATTTACCAACCTCATGAATAAATAACAATGATTGTGCCGAGCATTTCTGGCCACTACATGCATATGCATCCTGGTCACAGACCCAGGCAACATAATCTTCCTGCATTGAAGAAACAAAAGAGAAGCTATTATATAATTGCTTGCTGTGCCAGCGCATTCTGAACTCTCCAATACAAATACACCAGTACAGATAAAAGGAACCTCTTGGACATCAGGGCCCAGTATTTTCCAGTCAAATCCAGCATCTTCCAATTTAATGCGGCCCTTTAAATCAAGGGCCAATTTTTCAGCCACTCTTGAGCTACCAGTGAAAAGGGTCATTCGGGGTTTTGCCTGTATAGAAGTTGCTAGTTACCACATCACTTAATATCATTGTATAGAAAATATATATGTAGCCACAAACAGATTCAGAAGATAAGTGGGATGATAACATAGTAAATGAACAAAGTAACAATTTGTTGGTAAAAATAAAATACTGCCTTTTTGAACACATCAAAAGTGCTTCAAGTAAAGAAGAAAAATGACCTAAGATTCCGAGTATTACCCCTCTTAATTTCAACACTAATACTACGAGTCAACAATATGCTTCCCATTTTATGGATAATAAGAATATAGCATTGAAAAGGTAGAAGATGGATCATATCACATTTCACATGATAAAGGGGCTCAAAAGATGGGAAGGCCCAATAAGAGGAAAGCTAAAGCAAATCATTTAGTTAAGTAAAATCATTATCATTAGTTTATATAAAGGCCCTATAATCCTAATGAGTTTCCAGGAGAACTATGCGGGGGAAACAGAAACCTGAGACTGCCTACTCGAAACTCTAAGGACAATGCAATAAATCCCTGTTGTCTCATATTAAAGGAAAGACTGCAGGGGTAAAAAGGGTTTAGTAAATTGCGATAATGATAGTCGTTCCACTCCACTACTGATGAACCCCACTCTTTTTCAAAAGGAGACACTCCTTCTCCATAAGTGACAAGGCTCTTTTGCTGAATATATAGTAACACTAAAAAATAATCAAAAAGTAAACTAAGAATATTTCAGGAATAAATTTAGGAACCGCACCACTAAGAATGAAGTGCTGAATGCAGAAAGAGATATTAAAAACCCTACCTCCAGCAATAGCTTGTTCATTGTCTTTCCATCAGAATTGATGAAGTCAACATCTTCAACAGGCAACCCACAGCAATGAAGCAGACGTAGCATTTGGTCCATGACGATGCTCACCTAAAATAATTTCAATCAATAGTTCAAGTAACAATTACACCCTATACTATAATTTTTTTCCCTATAAACAGGCCATAAAACAATGTTAGAAGTAATTTCCTTATATACTAAATCTTCCCCATATAAAGCCATAAGCACGCACCTTGCTGTCAACTTTAAGAACTGGTTTGTTGCCCATGTAAAGTGCACCCATTAACTGAAGGACTGGTATCTCTAAGGGAAAATTAAAAGGAGTAATGAGTGCCACCTGCAGACACAAATATTACTTAGAATTTGTTGGGGAGGGAAGGGCAAGGTCATACAAAGTACTCTGAAGAACCGCTTAAGCTGAGGCTCATGAAAAAATTGTAAGAACGTCTCCATATGGCGCCACTAATCTAAACATAATGCAGGGCCATATCAGATAACATCTTACTCTTATTCCCATTCAATGATAATAAAATCACACTAATAGGACATCAGGAACTTCTATTCAGTCACAGACAGCAGCCAGCCTTAAAAATAGACTTTATTTATGCCAATGAGAAAAAAAACTTACTGGGCCATATGGCCAGCGAAAACCATGACTCTGCTGTCCAAGGTGATTTCCAGGTACTGCAAAAGACCTTGCCAAGAAACGAACCTGCCAGGAATTTCCAAAAGTGAATATTACATGAAATTCTTCAGTTGATTTACTTGTGAAATCAGATAACATAACATATAGGTTCCAAATAACTAGACATAAGGTCTGCAAAACTTTATATTTGGAATGTTTTCTCTCACAACAGAAGCCCAAACTAGATAAAAGAGATTGGAAAAATTTGATCTATACAGTGCTCAAAAGGAAATCAACGATTCAAGATTCCTTAATTCAAGTCATAGCGTATCAGAGGATACCATGCTTCCCTTAGGATTTTAGTAACACATGCTTTGATGTACCTGATCTCCCGAAAAATTCTCTAGAAACTTGCTTGTTACATAAACTTCTGCATGAGCCTGTGCATAACTCTTTGGAGAAACCCGTTGTATTAGCCTTGTAAAGAAATCTGAAACCTGAGGATTGCGCAGGATGAATGCATAAATGGTAAGGTAACAATTATATAAGTGTTCTAATCAAAAGAAAAGGTAAAATCTTGTAAGCAAACGGGGGTCAGTGTATAAAGGGGAAAAGGAAATAAAATTTCCTTTCTCCATTCATACCTTTGGAAGTGATAGCATGTGAGCTGCCTTAGCAGATATTTCTCCAAACAAAAGATATCTGCCAAACAATTTATAATGCAACATCATTTTTAGAAAGCATTGAGACGGACAGATAAGAATATATGGTCTGATAACACATTCCTAAGAATCAAAACCTAAAATTAAGTGGCTATAGTCATTTCCACAGTGTGAAAATGCCAGGTATATGACAGTATAAATTTAATGTGATCTCATACTTGCTAGAATATCAGGATCCAAACTCCCATGGATTTTAGTTCCTCCTTGTTATGTGGGAACAATGAGAGGTAGTTAATAATTGTTGGAACAATGAGAGGTAGTTAATAATTGTTAGAACAAACAACAGAATTCAGAATGACAGTCAGGAGATTTAACTAACTGATATAAAACTAGCTGATTAGTCTCGTGAATTATAAATAAGGGTAAGGGGAGATGGTACATTTCCATTATGTTTGTTGGGTAATGAAGTGAGCTTTTGGCTAAATAAATACCGATCTTCTTGGATATCTTGGTATTACTCCTCTTAGACAGGTCTATAAATAGATGGATAGAGCCCTCAACACCAAAACAACTAGCCCTGGCATCTACACCTTGCTAACCAACCATCCAAAGATGGCTTCCGGTCTCTATTGCAACCAGAAAGTAACCAAATGATTGATAATATTGACAGAAGGGTTACTATAACTTTCAGAATAGTCTAGATCATCCGCCTACGTGCATTCATTCCCAACAAAAGAATGAAGGTGGGCTAGCCACATAAGCAAAAAGAGGTGAAGACATGCCTATTGGGAACCATTTTGCCCCTCACTTGCATGGACATATTAATGCAAAAGAGAATTATCTTATTTGTTGCTGCAAAGAGGGGAAGGAATAAAAATAAGGACATGCTGAACATACCTCTCTGGTTCTTTAAAGGGATTGTGCAGACCATGTTTCGGACAGCTGGACAAGCTTTCCACAAAAGGCTGAGAATTTCAACAGATGAAAAATTTCAGTCTAGACTGTTATTTGACAAATATTGCGGAGTTTCACCCATTCATCTAAAGCTTTTATTTTAAAGTTATCCCTCCTTCCCATTTGAAGTTAGAGAATACTCAGATAAAAGAGGGTTAGGTCTTCAAACTTGCATTTCCAAAGGACAAGTGTTATGCCTTGGTCACTTGAATTTTTGAAGAGCGAGTAAGTGTAACAAATGATACAACCATAAACATACCAAGGCATATTTTTAAAAAGCAGAAAACTTTCATGGTTTAGGGAAAAAAATATGTTTCCAAAAAGCAGGAATTTTTCATGGCTTGGGGAAAGAAAGCAAGTCAACAAATAATTCATCACAAAGACCTGAATGCCCGTTTCATCAACATCAGCAACTTTAATAAAGGGCTCTCCATTTAAAGGATCCACAATAGTGTTCCACTTCGAGGATCCTATCCATTTACCTTGCACTGAAAGTAGAGAAAGTGGAGAAAATTCAATAAAAAATAATCGTCATCCTAGAATAAGGCAACAAGTTTGATTGAAAGGGGGGGAAAAAAAACAGTGAGCTCCTTCACAAAACTATGCTAAAAACATTATGTATCATTCAGTCTTTCTAATTACAAGAGGGAATCAAACCGTTACAGTATATCTATTTCAGAGCTCAAAACTCTGGTGTGAACTTTATTACTATCCCCCTGTTTTTCCTTACCTATTCCAGTGTCCAGAGACAGCAGAATTGAATTTAGTTGATACAAAAATGAACAGTTTTTCTAAAGACTAAGAAGATACTGTCTGTTACCATAAATATTTTAAAGAGTGCAAAAAGAAGCCTGCTAGCAGAAAGCTAGGCGAAATAAAACTGGGGGAAAATAACGCAAATTACTTTTAAGGTGACTCTTTTCCTCTTTTTTTCTTTTGGCACAAATTTACTCCCTCAGTGTTGTAAATTTTAAAAGGAACTAAGGATTATATGTGGACAAATCATCTTTTGGAGGAAACAGAACCTACCCAAGTTTTGAACTTCAGCAGGTCTGGAGCCTGATATCTCTTCAACTTCAACAGTTGCAAATGATGAATGAGCAGACCTGCTCATCATTAATGAATTTAGTGTTCAATAATCATAGTAAGAATTGTATTAAAAAGTAAAGAGCAAATTGTTCTAGAGATCATAACAAAAATTAAAAATAAACAGTATGAAATGCATTAGAAACTGTATATGGTTTAATAATATCATATCACAACAAACGTAGGGATGAAGTACCATCAGGTAAAGCCAATTTTTATTGTTTCTTTTTCTCTTTTCCTCTCAACTCATTCCGCTGAACAGAATAGTAATTTTCACTTCTTGCATGCATTTTTTTTTTGGGCAAAGGAATTCGCACAAATTGTGTTTGGGATTTGGAGAACTGAAGTACCCATTCAGTTTAAGGAGATAGGAAATAAATAATTTTTTTATCAACGACTGAATAGATAGACTTGGAGATTTTACTAATTGCCAGAGGCTAAACAGTAACCACATTATGTTGTTGTTTTCCTGCTATCTAGCATACACATTTCTTATCCCTAAACCATCTGATTTCTGATTCTTTTGTTTTTACCTTAAAAAACAGTTTTTTATACAATTTCGTTTCCATACCTTCCATAATTACAAAAACTCCCAGGTAATCGCCACCACTCATTTAAATATGTTCTGCAACACACGTTTTCCCTCCGACAACAATTAATTTTAAAACGCCAATTTAAAACCTTCAACGTTCGACGGAAATAAATTATTTGCAAATATATCATAGACCAGATTTTATCCCTATGCACATTGTATAAATAAATAGGAGTTACGATAAAAGACGACACCGATGTGGAAACGATCAAAATTTTAGCAATCTAGAGAACAGGTTGGAAATTGATTTAAACTGAGCTTAGGACCTATTCATCCACGCATCAGAAACGAAACAGCCTGGAAAGAAGAATGGAAGAAATCGTCAAAGCCAATCGTGAACGGAACAGTTACCGTGAGAGGCTGAAAAAGGCAAGAGACTTCCGCGAAGTCGAAGCTTGCACTCCTCTGTTTACGATAAACCTGATCATGGTAGATGATCGCCGGAGCAGTGTCCCCCAAGAGAAATGACGAAGGAGAAGGCAAAGTGAAGTGAAAGAGATAGAGCTTCGCTAGTCTCTGTCAAAACGGCTTTGAATGATAGATTCCTATTTTGATAATCCCAACATAATAAGGTTGATAGACTCACATGGACCACGTAGAGCTGACTCATGAGGATAGACCAATGCCTCCCCTCACATTTTTGTCCTTTTCTGAGGTTTTTTTTTTGTTATTATTCTTATTTTTCAAACAGGGCCCAAGGCCCAAACATTACAAACATTTTTTGTCTTTTTCTAATAAAAAAAAATTATCATGGATTCTGTGACTTGTTGCGCAATTGGTGGGGACTTGATGTGTCCATGATTAACTCTATTTTCTTTTCTAATTTTTCTTCAATTAATATTTTTTTCCACAAAAGGTCCAAACGGGCCTGGGCTAAGGCTTTTTTTTCCCCTTAAAGCATTAAGCATAGATATCATCTTATTAAAAACATTTTTAAATATGAATACTTTTGTCAGCGAGAATTTGAACTTAAGCTGGATTGAGGCTCTTAATCACTAGATAATCTCGAAAAAGAGAGGCCCATTAAATCCCCTCTAATGGCCCATTATATTACATATTTTTGTGTGAAATAAAAAAAGCTAACAAGTTACATTCAGTTAATTTGAGTAAAGCCACCAGTAGAGGTTGAGTTTAGAAGAATGGACTAGTCCCTCACAATGTGGTGAACCAAGATTTGAATTCTTATTAAGAGAGGTATTGACATTTAATATTTGCCAAGACCTCAAACTAGATCACCTCTATTAAAAAGGTAGTGGTGCCTAGGCGGGAAAAAAAACTCTATATAAGTTTTCTTTTTATGAATTTTGAAGTTGACAGGCGTTAAAGGTCCATATAAGTATTCTAGATACTAAATCCACATTTAGTATCTTAAATTTATTGCTTAGTCTCACTTTTATTAACCCAAAAAAAATAGAACTCTATATACTTACAAAAGATCTATAAGTTTTCTTTTTATGAATTTTGAATTTGACAGGCGTTAACTTAAGGGGTAGATGAAGAACAAGTTATACTATAAGAATTAGCTTTGTATAACCATATAAATTAAGGGATGAATTTTAAAATTTGGAATCTATATGGACCTATAAATTATAAAAGGTGATGCAAACTACAAATAGGAAAGCAACCATCTCCCTAATTTATCCAGAAATTTATGGCAAAATAATGGCCCGAGAAAATTTATCGTGTAAACTAAACCAAAACTAATTGAAACAATAATAACTGGAATGGCTGACTTAGTTCAATAAAATTAATCCAACAACCCCACCAAATAACCGTTCTTCCTCAACACGCATATATAATGTGATGCAATTTTGATTTGGCAGTAAATTATATTAATTTATGACAGTTTTGTAATTAATAAATCATTATATGTCTTGTAGGGCTATCCCTCTAACCTTAAGGGGAAAAAAAAAACGAAGTCTCTTGAGACGTTGGATTATCTTTTAAAATAAGTAATAAATAACCAAGTGGTCTGGTAGATAGCTATGCATGCGTACGTTTTGACTATTCGTTATTAAGTATATAGTCATAAACCTTTACAAGTAACTTCCATGTACATATATGAATATATGATGATATAATAAACGTTAACGCTGACCTAATTGATTTTATTTTATGCTTAATTGTTGATCCAAAAGGATAAAAAAGAATAGTAAATAATACCAGTTGCGCTATTAAGGAGGAATGTTAATTTGTCTTCTCATGCAATTTTCTCTCTTTCAACCGCTAGGTGTTGTTATCGTCTATTTAGTTTATTTATATTGTTAAACAAAATGGTATGATCCATACACGTACACATACACATGCAAAATTATTAGGATGTTTAGTTATTGAAATTTGATCCCATTTTAATTTTAGTCCTAAAAGCTTGAAGCCAATTGTTTTAGTTATTGAAAACTTGTTACGGGGCCAGAAATACTGTTTCAATGACAAAACTGAGGTTAAATTTTAGAAACCACAATCACTTATTTCAAATTTCATAGACTAAAGCCAAAACTATATCAAATTTCATTGATTAAAAATAGTATTAACCTTAAAATTTATGTATCTTGTAAAAGTTATAAACAGTGCAATTCACTTGTTTGGTTTAATTAACATCGACCCTGCACAAGTTTCGTCTCGTTCCGAAAAACAAAAGAAAAGGTGCAACTCATCATTCTCAACATTATGTTTGTATTAACCTGTATAATGGGAAAAGAGTGTGATGAGATATTAATGGCATTAAAGAAAGAAGTAGTCTTAAATTACATATAATTAATGAAGTACCTTTGCAAGTGTCCTGAATTATTTTAATCAAAAGAGTGTATATGTTTAAATTAATTGTTTATTAGTAAAATCACATAATTTGCTCATGTGATCCTGGCCTCCCCAAATGAACTCAAGAAGTTAAGATCATAGATTGGAGGAGAGTTCTACTAGTTGAAGGATAATTCATCGGTCCTCGTCATTTTCTTCTTCAGATCTTATGAAAATGACTGAATAATCTGCTTTACCCCTCAATACTTTTTTATCTAAAACCAAACTTCAATATTTTTATGTTAAAAATTATTTACTGTGCTGTGAAAGCTCCTCACATGATTATAAAAGGTTATCGGTTCTCCAAGTATGACGCATAAACATATTAGTAATTTTTAATAACAACATTTAAAAATATTATTTTATATATAATTTATTCTTTGAGTAAACTATATGGTTTTAATATGTGTTGCTTCAAAGAAGATAAAATTATATAAATAAACTTGAAAGTTGAAACTTGATGGAGAGGGCATGAATTAATTGAGGGAGACTTGTGACTTTTAGTTTTTTATCATCCCTTCGCCAAATTCGCTGACATGCTTTTTTGTTTTTTTCTCCTTTATATCAATTCACACCGTCGCACATTATATTATTATCCCACTAGTCAAATTTTCTCCCTCTTAATATAATGCAACTTATTGTAATGCTCAAACGTAATGGCTGTAATGCAGAGCAATGTTTATTAAAGATATAGCGCAATACAGTATCTGTAATACGAAGGTACAGCCACAGATATAATGAAAAACAGGAAACTGCAGAGTATAACAAAAGGGAAGGAATGCAGAGAATGAAATATCCAGAGAGAAGAGAAGGTCCAGAGGGAGAAAAACCTTATCCCGATCCGATACTATAGTTTTGGGGAAGCCATGAAGCTTAACAACAGTCTGGATAAAGGCATCAGCGACCTGTTTTGCTGTATATGATGCCTTTAAGGGCATAAAATGAGCATATTTAGACAAACGATCAACCACAACAAAGATAACAGAATGGCCATGTACTAAGGGAAGTGACGTAATGAAATCCATGGCAATATCATCCCAAATATTATTGGGAATGGGTAATGGGGATAGCAACCCAGCTGGATGCGTTTGGAGGGCCTTAGCCTGTTGACAAATCACACAACGACGCACAAAATCTTTGATATCCTGACGCATAGAACGCCAATAAAAATGAGTGGCAACTCTATGAAAAGTCCTCAAAACCCCTGCATGTCCCCCAATAGGAGAGGAGTGAAATTCAAGCAACAGCTTATGTATTATTTCAGAACAATCAGGAGGAAGGACCAAACGGCCTTTCCAATACAACAAAGACCCACTGACTTCATAACCAACCATGGCAGTAGGGTCTGATTGAACTTTCTGTACCAAGCCCTGAATATAAGAAGATGCCTCCAACATAGGTAACAATTCAGCGAGAAAAGTGGAAGAAATGTGTAGCATGGACATATACGTAACACGAGATAAGGAATCAGCAGCCAAATTTGATTTACCCGATCGATATTCAATTGTAAAATCATATCCCAGCAGCTTTGGAAGGTGAGCTTCCTGTTCTGGGGTCTGAATAGTTTGCCCATTCAAATGCTTGAGGCTCTCTTGGTCAGTGCGAATAATAAAACGGTGGCCAAATAAATAATGACGGAATTTGGCCACTGCTTGCGTGATGGCATATAACTCGCGCACATAAGCCGATTGTGCTTGCATCCTATTCGACAATTGTTTAGAAAAATATGCAATAGGGTGACCGTTTTGACTCAACACGGCACCAACACCAGAACCCGATGCATCAGTCTCCAATATAAAAGGATGAGCGGAGTCAGGTAATGCTAACGCAGGAGCACAAGCCAGATGAGGGACATGTAAGACAGAATTGAGATGTAGGGAATCTGAAATAGTAACCGAGCCTTTTCCAGCAATCGGAGAACCAGTACCGTTAGCAGTGGTGATATTATCATTACCAACACAGGGAAAATAGGTAACAAACATGCGAGCATCCGAGGTCATATGGTCAGTAGCACCAGTGTCAACTATCCATTTGTTGGATGTGAAGGAGGTGTGAAAAGCGGAAGGAGGAGTACCTGTATGAGCTACGGAGGCCGACGCAGCAGGGGAAGGTTGCCGTGCTGGGAGACCTTTAAGAGCAATAAGTAGTTGATGCATTTGCTCATTTGACAAGGCTGGAAGAGAATCAGACGGTTGGGAGGTTTCTGGTGATACCTGATAGCCCCAAGGCTTACCCTTTCGAGGTTTCCAATCAGTTGGTTTGCCATGGATGTCCCAACAACGTTCACGAGTGTGACCCGTTTTTTTACAGTGATCACAAGTGACTTTACCCTTCGTGGAGGATGACGAGGGCGCCCCTTTACTGATAAGAGCAGAGGAGTCAGAGATAGATGTTGGGGTTAGCATAACATTACGACGTGAACAGAAGCTCAACAGGCCTTTGATCAACTTAAGCTGGCTCTTACACATGTGTCATCACACTTATTTTGAGAGGAAATTAAAGTACGTAACACCTCTCTGCCTTTCTCCTTTGCCACGTCATTGTCCATACCCGGTTGCTGCTCTTCTTGTGTCATCACACTTATTTTGAGAGGAAATTAAAGTATGTAACACCTCTAATACTTAATACAAAGATAGTTATGGGTTGGATTTGCTCCTCAATAATAAGATTCTAATCTAATTTACATTGTCTTCCAAATTATTATTCCTATTAATTGTACATATT